CATAAACCATAAAAGTGAGGAATTATGAACAAACATGTGTCTGCCTAAATTTGTTCTTTTTCTCCCATTTTTCTTTTCCTTTCTATATTTGCAAGAATATCACGTTTTTCTGTGATCATGACTGTCAGCAGACTCAGTACATGCATAAAGCAATAATACTTTCAAAGGCTTAACCAATTTTCACATCAACTACTTTTGTGAATGACCTCCTAGTGACCATGGTTCTTGCATGTACATAGGGGTGCAAGCTTCACCACAATAATGTTAAATGTTTGTTTCAAGTTTGTCAATAATCATATCCAAAAGTAATGCCAAACTTTCAGGTTTAAATTTGAAACCTAGGCTGCATCATTATGGGTAAGAATATGGATATGACATGGTATGGCTGCATGGATATGACAAATCTCAAAAATCCAGCATAGGAATATGATGTGGATAACATCACAAAGTTATATGTCAGAGAATTAATGTTATTTATCTACAAGTTATGACATATATACATGTAAGGGTACAATAGTCAAATAAAGGCTACAATAGTCAAATAAATATAATAGTTCAAATAATGTAAATGATTTTCATGACATTATTTATGAAAATGCAAAAAAAAAATTTGAGAAAGTTGACAAATTAATGCATCTACAAACTAAGTGTAATTGCATTAGATTTTTAACTTCTTAATCTGGTACATCTATGTAAAACCCCGTAAATTTGAATATTTTATGATAAATAATGATAAATATGTTATATGGTGAAAAATAATATATTTTGATGTTTGGATATGATAAGAATTGATTTGAGATCAATTCAATGTATATTTGTGAAAATATGAGTGCAAATGCACAAAACATGTACAAAGGCCAAAAGAGTGAAAATCTGGGAATAATGACCAGTTATGAGTTTTTATAATTTTCACACCGATGCAGTTAGAATTTGGAAAAGTGTAAAAGATCAAAGTTGTAGGTCTCTTCAGCAGCTTTCTAACAAGTCTTAGATCACCTCATTCCGAGTTCGTATGAGAAAGTTACAGCAAAAATACCGAAGGGGTATTTTCCTAGTCAGACTAGGTTTCCTGGTTCGGGTCTAACTGGTTTGTTTCGGGTTTGCCTCTATAAATACCTGTATTTTTCACGAAAATTCCTTTCTTTTATCATATCTAAGAACCCTAACAGCCACCAAACCCCCATAAACCCTATTTTGAATTCTTGGAGAAGATTGGAGGCTTTCAAGTTGGGTTTTTGTTGATTTTTGGCTTTTGGAGTGGAGATCTCCTTCGACGTTGTTTCTAACAAGTTTTTCCTTCAACCCCAGGCGAGTATCATCCCTACTAATCCCCCTCCCAGTTTTTAAAATATTTTTGAAGAGTTTTTAATGAGTTTTGTAGAGCCAAATCAATTAATTTGTGTATAAAAATTGGATCTTTTGTATATATGTATAAAGACTAGGTCTTTTCATGTTAAAGAGATTAAGCACGAATTTACAGAAGTATTTTAAGATCTGAAAATAATTTAAAATATTGTTTATCTGAATTTAGATGTCTTATTCTTCATTTTAAAGTTTCGTGCATGATTGAATATCTGAATTTAGATATCTTATTCTTCGTTTTAAAGTTTCGTGCATGATTGAAGGTTTACATATGATTTCTTGTGCAAATAATCATGCTTGTTATGTTCTGTTGAAAATCTGCTGCACATATATACTATTGAACTAGAAATTTAAAATAACAAATGAAATCCAAATTGAACCAAACTAATGCCAATTGAAATATATGTGAATCTAGTTTTCAAAAAAGAAAACCATACCTAAAGATGGTTTTCCTAGAGAAAGATATGCTCAATTTACTGATGATATATGCTGCAGAAAATCTGGCTGGCAGCAAAATAAAAATTTTGAACATGGAAATTAGATAATTATCATAAATGAACTCCAAATCTGACACCAAATTAGTGGACAAATGATAGCTATTGATATTAGTTTTCAAAACGAATAAAACTGAATTCTTAAAAAGAGTTGTCCAGAGAAAGCATATTCTTCAATTTATTATGATATGTCCTGCAGAAAAACTGAGATGTGCTGATTTGACAATAAATTGATATATTACGTAAAAGTTTCTTGAGTTTCCTATTGTTTGTTATTTTTTGAGAGAGTTTCGTCGATCGTGTACTTGTTTATTTAATACAATGCTTAAGAGTTGTTTAATATTTAGGATGACTGATGAACACCAGATATGGACACGCACACCGAGATATGTGCACGTACACTTAGATTATGTTGTGTTAACATACTTTTTGTCGCACGTTGAGCTGATGAATACATATGAAAGAGTATAGTTATTTCATGTATCCGGAAATAGGGAGATAAAACCTATTTGCCGCAGAACGATTGAGTAAGAGTATTACAAAAGTATCGTTAATTCATGTATCCGGAAATAGGGAGATAAAACCTATTTGCCGCAGAACGATTGAGTAAGAGTATTACAAAAGTATCGTTAATTCATGTATCCGGAAATAGGGAGATAAAACCTATTTGCCGCAGAACGATTGAGTAAGAGTATTACAAAAGTATCGTTAATTCATGTATCCGGAAATAGGGAGATAAAACCTATTTGCCGCAGAACGATTGAGTAAGAGTATTACAAAAGTATCGTTAATTCATGTATCCGGAAATAGGGAGATAAAACCTATTTGCCGCAGAACGATTGAGTAAGAGTATTACAAAAGTATCGTTAATTCATGTATCCGGAAATAGGGAGATAAAACCTATTTGTCGCAGAACGATTGAGTAATAGTATTACAACAGTATCGTTATTATATGTATCCGGAATAGGAAAATAATAAATCCTATTGCCGCAGAGCGATTGAGTAACGAGCCTTACAAAAGTATCGCTATAGTACAATATGATGCACACATAGATAATTGATCAGTTGTAAGTTTTACTTCCCAGATAGATTGCCCGTGAGTAGGGTATTTTCCTTTGAGAATTTGATACACCCGTTATGGACGGCAGATATATTTGTTTTAGCTTAGTTGGTATCCTCTTATATTAGAGCAGGTCACTCGGACGTAATTCGAGATGAGATGATTATTCTTTATGTTGGAGATTGGAGTATTTATCATTGATTATTTGTTTTTCATTCATAGAGAGTTATATGAATGATTTGATATATGTATGTACTGACTCTATTTTCTTATATACTCCTACCCCTTCCCCTGGGGAGAGGTAGTGATGATCTCGCTAGCGCTTTGATGCTCGTTGTTTTCCCCTCTTTTAGGCAGCGAGTCTGGCGCACGGAGAGTCGCAGGTTGATGGGACTTCTTAGTTGTCCATTTAGTTACTTATCATATTTTGTAGTTATTGTATAACTCCACATGTAGTTGATTATTTTCAGAATCTAGATTGGTATTTTGTTTCATAGAGTTGAGAGCTATTGTGAGACTTTGTTTATGTGACTCATTGTATTCGAGATTTAGTTCAGACTCAGAGATATGTCTATTTTATTCCAGTTGGGCTCATTATTGATTTTTCTTATGCTTCTTCTGTGTATATCCAGTGTTGTCCTATTTCTATTTTTACCTATCTGTACCTTCACCTATTTATTGTTTCCACTAGAAAGATAGTGATTGTGATGGTGAAACTTGTCATAGCATGGTGGTTGGTGCTTGGCAGGTTTGACAATCCGGGTTTCACCTGGGACTGCAGCCTTGTGTGAACCCTGGGGCGTCACAGTTGGTATCAGAGCTCTAGTTCCAGCATCCTTAGGATCATTCCTGTGTCAAATTGTGGAGCTAGGATAGAGTTTCCTAGGATTCACGTATAGAGTCCGTTAGGAATTCCTAGAATGAGTGAGGACGATACGTGCGTATATCTCAAAATTTCAAATTTTTTTATGACAATTATTTTATGTTGATTTAAAGTATTTGCGTGAATACTATATGTTATAAATACGTACGATCTCACTTACTGTGATTATAAGCTCTCCTCTCGATATTATAAATATTGGAATGAGGATGCAGTCGAGATAAAACTCACACCCGGAGAGCTGGGCAAGCAGAGTCCGAGCCGCAGTAGGCTCCACAGTATTTGATCGACTTTATGACACCGTTTGCAGAAACAGAGACTAGCAACACTCGAGGAAGGAGTAGCGAGTCACATTACATTTTCTGGAGTTCCACCACCCGTTGTACTAATTGTGCCAATTGAAGAGGTAATACTAATGATTACATTATCACCACAACCATTTGTTGATAGAGATACAGAGCAGGAGGCTTGGCTCTATAAGAATAAGAAAGATGTAGGACACTGAGAACACCATAGTGCAGGGCACATTGGATTCATATGCAGCTTATAAATAAAAAGAAATATGTGAAAATTCCTTAACGTAGACTCAGTATCAAACCAGAGGTTAAATATATTCAGCACAGAGGATATCACCGGAGAATAGCATCAAAGAATAG